ATTTAACGATGCTATCTGATTCTAAAAAAAGCTTTGTGTTTACAACAAGCTTATTTCCAGCTTTAACGCAATTAGAAAGCTCACGCCGTGAAGATATAGTACCTCACGTAAATCGTCTGTGATTGGATAGGTAATCAACAGCAACTGCATGAGCAACAGGAAATTTAAATGAACCAAGAATTTTATATCAAGTGATAGGAACTACTGGGATTTAAAAAACTCGGTTCGTATAATCGCATGAGTCTTCAGGCACGACACTTGAAATGAATATTGAAGAGGTTGAGGAAGATCTTAACCTTTCTGTCTTTAGTAAACATGATTAGCAGATAATTAAGATTCCGAGATGGACTTAGAGATCAGTCAAAATTTCTAAGATAAAAACCTTCCTATTTACTTTTTCTAACATATTCAACAGAACAAAGATATCATCATCGTCAGTATAACAATTCATCTCGATGAGTCTAGAATTCCATTGAATACATTATTTCAACATAGAAGAAGAAATGACCTTATTACACACACATACTGTGTGCCGTGCATACTCATCAGAACACAACTGAATTGATGTATATTCACAGCATAACAGTAAACACTCAAGAAGTTAAGAGTCCAGGCTAGACCACTAAACGCCACAAATTTGGTCAAGACAGATTTCAAACAATGAACACTCAAAGCCAATTCGCTATAGCACAGAGTGATTCGGCTATATAAGAAGAAATATCCACGAACATATTATGGTATCAAACCCAGACTTCATTCACATCTGTAGCGAAGGAAAGTTGTACATTATTCTTATGTCCAGAGTTGTCGAACGAAAGATCTGTGTAGTATGCCTTTTCTGAAACACAAAATAGTCCACCAATAATTAGTCACCTAGCTGTCATTGGTGGAATTTATCATGTTTCTCACTTACATCTGATTTTGCCAAGATTCTGATGAACAAAAGAGCCCAGCAACACTCAGTCATATTTTGTCTAAAGAATGAAGAGGCATCATCACACTGTTGGAGTTAACTCACTCTTCTGCAGAGATACAGTTAGTAGCTTAATTTTCAACCTGAGTCTGTAGCGAACAATGAATAAATAACAGTTTGGTATGTTCTGGAAGCCAGGTTCTATCTAAACCTCGATCATTCCCTTTCCGCCAATTGGAATGAAATGGATGTACTCCAAGACGGCACCGTAAATTGTGCGCTGTTACGTAAGAGATAGATTCGTCATGAACGTCCGGATTGCATGACCCTCGTGCACAGCGGGTCATGACGAAGCTTTAGCACGTAAACGACCAACAAAGTCTGTTGAAATTTCATAACAAGTGCTAGTCTTTTTTTGCTTTCTTCGATACATGAGTAGTACTGTGAATTTTTTAATAGGAAAGTTAAGATGCATACATGCAAACAATATATGCTTTGTAAGAAAATTGAGCCATCGTAGTCTGAAGAAAAATTTGGCAAATATTCCTCAATATTCACAGCTCCCACGTCTTCTCGCCTTGTCCTCAAATGCTAGCAAGATATGAATAGGTGTTTGCTAAATCTTCAAGTATAGCGGACGATTGGGGTTCTTTTTATTGGGGTTCTTATGGTTAGAGATCACAAATAGTACCATTTCTTGGCATTGATTTTCCAAGAAGCATTTGCTTACTGTTATTTGCAAAGTTATCATCTTTACAGTGTCGAACTAAGATAATTCCATCAAATGGGAGATAAGAGAGATTGATTCAGTTTTCTATCTGTACCGCTATCCAACATTTTTTGGTCCTTTATTCATGGCCATCCACATAGAAGTAAAATGATGCCCACAAAACCAATACAAATTCAAGCTTTCGTCTACCCACGAGGAGCCAGCTCTTAGAAATCAGAGCTCCGGTAGTGAGCACTATGCATGCAAGAATTTCAAGTTTCCCTATAAAATATGTTCTCTGAACGCCATCCAGCAAGGCTTGAAAATAATGTTTGGAGCACTTGTGCAAAGGTCTTGTCAACATTAGATCCAAAAAAGAACGCATTATCAGGGCATCTCTGAACACGACATACTTGTGGAGAGAGTGCATATAGGGTTCAGTCAGTAATTGCGCAGGAGAATTTCCCAGCTTCTGCTTGGCAAAAAGACAAACGTGAGCTTAGGAGGTGAAAGTTGTCGAGACTGCTTTCAGACTTTAGCTTTTGTTGGAGTTTTGGGTTACCTTACCTTGCCGAGGCTTAATGTCAACATCCGGTGTGGCTTCCTTGCCAGCACTTGCCTTCGAACTAAGTACTGGGATGAAGGATTCCGCGACGCTCCCGCTGAAGCTTAGATTAGTCTTCTGAGGTTTCACGTCCCAACCTACTGGCTGTGTTTAGATGCAAGTCGGTTTAGGCGCTTGAGAAGGTAGCGGCTGTGGTTTTGGTACTACACATTCAAGATGCGAGATTGAGTCGACTATTGTTGTCTCCGTCATGGTGACATCTGGATTAGTTGGTGGTACGGCATGGGCTGGTGTCTCCACATTCGTGGATGGAACCGCCATGTTCTTGATTTGCGGCGCCCATCTATTCTTGCATTGGACCGTGATAAACCTTTATGCGTCCGGGATGGTTGCGGTTGTTGGTATGAGGACCGTCTCGGATGGTATCTTCTTCTCTGCCAATCCTGCCTGTATGGTTAAGCATTTTCGGCCTTTTGAGTTTGTGGTTGTATCTGACCGTTTGGTTGCGGCCGTACGATCTCACTTCTCTCATTCGCCACCTCTGCACTTGGATCCGAATTGCGCACTACACCTTTTGTGGGTATCCCCCGATTGATTTTAGGGCAGTGTTCTATTCGATGTTGGTGGTTCACGCAAAATGTGCATTTGAGGACAACTGCTTCGTAGTGAACAGGTATCGTTGCGCTGCCGTCTGATCCGATGAATTCAACCACATTGAACATCCATCCTTTGCTTAAATCTATGCCCACGCAAAATTTGGCTATGACATCCGTCTTGGTGCTCTGCGTATACTGGTACCATCTGTTCGGCCACTTTGTACGAGAGTTGTTGATATTCGAGACTAATGTCTGGGAATGAGATCCACATGGGCCATATTAATCCAAATGAAATGCATGGATTGAAATCATGAATCCATCGTTGGTAAATCATCCACCCACTAGAAGCTGTGATATCCCATAACTAGCACGCATTTCATAGTTTCAAGTCCATCCGTGTGAACATAGGCGAAGTGATGCCCCACTCGGAGGAAAGAGGAATCGATTTCCGGGGCTGCGACCTCAAAGAATGAAGTCCACCATGGTTCCGCTGCCGCTCCCTGTAGGTGCCCATCAATGATACAAGCGATAATGATATGTTCGGTGAGTATGGAGATTGTCGCAACGACTACATCCTGAACTTCTCCGTTGAGTGTGATAGTCAAGAAGAAAGCTTCAGCCTCAAGAGTTAGACAACCTATTTTTGCAAGAAGAATAGCGTACAAAGTTTGAGTTATCACATCCAATTCTTCTTGTAAGAAGATCTTTTGCATCCTCTCCAAACGCTGCCAACATGTCTTCTTACAACTAGGACTCCACATTTGTATTCCATATAAGAGAATCGGAAACACTAAGCTCATGAATTAGAATTTTCTAAGACTTCAAGACACTAGATGAGCTCCTCTGCATCTATTTAGCAAGGAGTATAGAGCTTTGAAACCAGCTTCTACTCTCTTTTGCACACAAAGCGCCTAACTATAATCGTGGGAGAAACCCATGCCTAAATATTTGTAACTGCTCACTTGTTTCAACTCTAATTCTTTGTAAAAGAAAAAAAGCTTGGATCTAATGATCACAATAATGATTTTTGACTTCTCCAAATTAACCTCCATATGATTTTGAGTAGAAAAGCTAGCCAAAGTGTTAAGATATTTTTGTAAACTAATCACATCAAGTGCTAGTAATATGACATCATCTGCATACAAAAAAGCTTTGATGACAAAGACTCCAAGTTTGACATCTTCACTTTCACAATACTCTAACCACTTTTTTTTAATCATTTATGAAAACTCTAAATAGAATAGGAGAGAGAGTACAACCTTGAATGACTCCAATGATATTCAACATTTCTTCGGTTTGAGAAATGTTGATCTTGGGCCAAACAAAGTGATATAATGTGGCCACAACTGCTAAGAGATCTGATGGTACTCCAATGGTATGCAATCTTTCTCATAAAAGTTCACGAGGTACTGTGTCAAAAACTTTCTTGAAATCGATGAAAGCACAAAACAAAGCTTTTTCGTTACCCTTGAACTTCTTCTATAAAACACGCAAAACCAAGATATGGTCTATAGTGTTGAATGTAGGATAAAAACTAGCTTAAAACCGTGCTCTATTCTAATAAGATTCAACCTATGTGTTCAATTTTGACTCCACCAATTTGCTAAAAAGCTTGGCAAAAATACTAGCCACCATGATAGTCCGATAGTTTGTCACTAAGTTCTTGCTAATAGTTTTGTGAATAGTAACAATCTTCCGTAGAGACCAAGTTGAAAGAAAACCATAAATATCAGCATTCTCTAACACTTTAGTGAGGATAGGTCCAATAACATCTACTCCCCACGTGAAAAGTTCAATCGAAAGACCATCAAAATTCTCATATGAATTGTATGTTTGAATTGGATGTTTCTCATGTATTGGTTTGGTTTTGAATCCTTTGGATGTTTTTCAGAAACTTCCAAACCAAAGGATTCATATATAAAGGCACTACGAGATCAATACAGATCAGTGCTCTGCTAAGAGTATTCCAAGTTGCACACTGGTCAACCATCATCAAACATCAAGTTGAGTAACTCTCTCCATATCGCCATTGAACATCCGAAATAGTGCTGGAGAGAATTGTTAACCTTGGATCACACCATGGTGCTAAGTCTCATGTGATTCACAAACATGTGTTCAAAACACTTGGAAACTGCTACAGTCATGTCGTTGGAATTTTTTTTGGAACTAAATTCAAAGCCTAGGTGAAATGCATTATGCAACAAATTTATCGTTTGCCTTTAACTTTAGATTGCTCTCAGGAAACTTTGAAGCAAAGGATGTGATCCACGGTATCAAAATTGGGGTGCAATTATACTTGAGAAGAGGCTGACATCTCATGGTATTGAACTCAAGTGCTGAGTTTACTTTACTCTTTAGAAGACCTCGATACAATAGCTGAACACCATGATGGTTCTAAATTCACATTCAGCGAGGTTGTTTTGAAATTGTTTCTTTTTACATCACGTCTTATCTTGTCGAATGAAGTTCTTGGAAACGAACACATTGTACACTCAAAGGTCGTCCACCCACCACTAAGGGTCCACTGGTTGCGAGCATCGTACCAAAAGAACCTGATCTAATTTGATCTCTCGCCATCACCTGGCATGTCCTCTGTCTAGGTTTCTATATTCCTCATCCATAAGCACCATGCTGCTCATTTGAGCTATAGCTTAATCTGAGCGAGATGTTTTTCACTGACCTGAGGGAATCCTTTTGTCAGGTCTGCTTCCTTCGACTTCGGAATATTCTAACACTTGAAAATATTGACATGCATCGATTTGTGGAATTCCATGAAGATCTTCGATGAACCCAAAGATGAAGCATACGGCGTCATGTCCTTCACGAGCAAAGTCGCAGATCGTGAAGAGTGTTCGGGAGCCGTTTGAGAATCAGATGGAGGTGCTGTAAGGAACACCTTTGCCGGTCAAGCCGGAGGAGGAAGTCGGGAAGAGCAGAGTGTAGGGCACGAGCGACGGGCCCAGCCGGTTTCGCAAGTCGCGGCTGCTGTTCCTCTCGTTGATCTTGCTCTCCAAGTTGTCCATGGCCGCAGTGAACTCTGCGAAGGCCGCCTTCAGCCGGTCATCGGAGGTCCAGTCGGCGGAGTTCCGGTGGCCAACGTACTCTTCGTCGATGGCGTGAGTGGCTAGGAGCTCGATGGTCGCCATGACGATGGTGGCAGCCAGTTCGGAGGTGGAGGACGAGAGAATGTACTTCTCGGGGTCGGCGATGAGCTGCAGATACTCCGGAGACCCGACCTCGGGAATGAACTTGCGAGTCATGGGTGGCTTGTTCGGCATGAAGCCCGCATAAGCATATTGGCCGAAGTTCACTGCAGCGTGGTGAGGTCCCGCCATCCAGCAAATGGTGGTGACGATTTGCACCAAGCTCTTGCAAGAGTCGAGCTTCGGCCACCACGACGCAGATTTCACATCTCCGTATCCGACATTCACTAGCTCGTTCCACCAACTTTGCAACTCCGTATCTGCAACGACTGCCGCGTCCGAATCGTCGTATACGATGCTCACGTACTTGGCAACCCAAGCCTTGATTCCATCCCACAGCTCCAGCCCATCCTTGGCAAATGGGTAGTCGTCCACCACAAGTTTCACTCCCCCTGGGTAAGTGTCATCTGCTGGCTCTGCCATTCCTCTGCAAGGGAACGAACAAATGTATCGATGAGAAGTCTCTTCGTTTCTCGATCCTATTGTATCCTAGACAACATGCCGCTTCCCTCTCCAGGGTTGTCGCTTTGATCCGTGCCACTCTGGGACTACAACGAGGCATCCGATATAATTGCCTCTGAAACTTATGTAGATAATTCCAACCTTCACATTAGTCATTTCATGGAGGATTCTCGTCGAACACTTGAGCACTTGAGATTGAGTTTGTTAGAAGCACTACCGTAGCTATCTACCAGATGTTGAGCATATACAGAACCATGGAAATCAAGACGATGGAAGCTCAGAAAAACTAACTCTCTCAACTATAAACTTAACCATATCTATATATATATATATATATATATATATATAAAAGACGGGTTACACGAAAAAGAGTACATGAAAGCATACCGTGCTATCAAGTCCTGAGGAAGGGCTTGTTCGTCAAACCGCCAATAGGCGCCAAAAACTACTGCGCTCATCTCCATGGAGTACCGCTGAGGAGTGAATGTCGCTTCAATAATTCCGTTGGCATTGATGAGAGCCTGTCGAGCAATTGCATTGATATTCATCGTATTTTTGAAGGTCGGTAGAAGGAGATTGAAGATTGGATGCATATGACTTAGCTGTCTGTTGCTCGCTATTATAACAGGCTCCATGGCAGCGTGACTCCTCAACCTGGGCAAAAAAACAATTGAAGAGATCTCAGTCCTACTACGTCAACATCTCAAAGATCTTGTTTCAAGCGACAAGAATAAACCTCTGAAATGAGAAACTGCTCAAGTATACCCTCAGCGGACATGGACTATTGCAGTATCGTTCTCAAGTGCAGGATGATTTCAAGACAGGTCCAACACCAACTCGTTGTCAAACAACTCTTGTACACAAGAAACTGGGTTCTCTTGAGTTTTCTGGAATTTGTGCAAGCGTGATTACAAGTTAAAAATGATAGATTCTGAACAGCTGCACTTCTACAGCAAAGAGCATCACGTTGTAGTTTGAGCTTGGATATTGTCTTTATATTTGCATGCTTGCTCTGTGACGAGACTCGTTGGGACCACGACCACAAAGGTACAGAAGAAAATCTAGATACATCAAAAATACTAAAAACGTTGCACTGCAAGTCTTACCAGTGTGTGACTAGCTCATGGTATCCAAAGTCGATGGCATTGAAATGGAGCTTGGCCATCTCCCATAGGTAGTCTCTCTGTGTGGCTGAAGCTGGAGGAGGAGTGAAAACTCTTCTGATAGAAGTGTTTCCACCTTTAGGCGGAGGTAAGCTCAGCTCAATTGCAACTGGCTTCATGGTGCCTTCGTTGGTGTGGAAGAATATAACGCGTGGAGCATATCCCCTGCCTCCATCTTTCACTGAATTTATCTTGGTCATGTAAGGCATGAATATATCATGATAATCGATGGTAAATAGCCTCTTGTCTTCCAAAGCCTGCACACAAATATCACATGAAGACCGTGGACAAATGTCAGCACTAGACGTCATTGAGAGAGATATCACATGACTGTTTCGTTTTGGAACTTAGAAACTGGAAAGCTAGAAGATCTATTTCAGAAGTCTTTCACCGTATATACATACATATATTGGAACTGAACTGCATCATTAAAGGGATATGTGACCTGTTGGTACAATGAACGACACTCGACTTGTACTACACTTGAAGTCGACATGTGGGAGGGTTTAATACAAGATTGTGAATATAAATTACACCTATCGCTGGACTTGACTGACTGGGAGGCCACTGAAACTCAAGGTTTGACAGAAGCATATCGACCACTTATTTACCTTGGCAACCGTTAGGCCTTGCAGGTTTGCGAGAATGTGTTTCTCTTGCAATGAACTCCCCGATCCATATACGCTCGGGTCCAAACTGCTTTTCGGTGGATAGTCCTGGGCGAAATTGCACGATTTCTAATTCGTTAGGCCCTACATACTCAGGTATAGACTCTCGTTCCTCCAGTCTCTAAGTTGTTTGATTTAATTGCAGCAGAAGTTCAAACCACTTGCAGACTGGAGGAAGGAAGAACTGAATCGTATAAACAAACCCAGGGCGTCAAAGTTCATAGCTAAGTATTTCAATCGATGTATATTGATATAGACGGTTGTGAATAAAAGATTCAGAAAAGTCTACTTCAAAAGACAGAAAAGACTATTTCAAGGAGTGAAGATTAATGCTGCTCAATGTGGCAAATTCATTTAGCTGAGTCCTTTTCTGCACTGACCTTGAGCAATTTTATGACACATGGATTCAGTCCAGACAAACTTTGACGTCCGAACTCCTCGTCCAATAACCATGCGTTTTCATCAGCTGTGGAAAACAGAGTGTTGAAATAGTTTTTACGACTCCGACCATATCTTGTAAACCATTACGCGCAATTGTAACCCTGACTGACAAATGTTTTTTGCAAAACTTGTATTTGGAATCCGTTTCGACACCTGCAGATTCTGTTTCGACAAAAATGATTCAAAATTAAAGCACTGCAGTCAGAAGCCTGAAGTAGTAGGATTGAGGTCTAGGCTTACTGGATATGAGTTGAGGAAGTGGGAAATTGATGACACTCTTCGAGCTGCCATCAGCATCAAAAATAGTGTCGAGAAGAACGTAGGGATTTTCTTGCGGCTTCTTGCTGTTTTTCTTCACGTCACCTTTTTGGTCCCCCATATGGCCTTCGAGGTCTATACCCTTGTCGTAGATAGATATGATATCTTTCATGGAGTCAAATTCGTTGGGTGTGCCATCGAAGTAGCTAGTCAGAGCAGGAACAATGAAATGTGCAACACTCTTTACACCTCCAGCCAAAAAGCCCGAATTTTTTACGCGGTTGAACCTCTCGTCTCTCGGCACATAAACCAGGGATGTACCCTGTTCAATCGACTCCTCTGACTTTGGGTCTGCATATGGAAAGAAGGTCAGCTTTATAACCATTAACAAAATATTTAGACTCACATTGAATTCAAGTCCACAGGCAGAATCTCTTTTACGATCAGTGAAACAACTCTGCCAAAATATGGTCAACGATCGCGACGCTCTGATGTGTCTGTCTCCTCATAATTTGGTGAGTGATCTAATCTGGTCATCAACTTGACAGCTCCGTTGATCGATTGTTAGATTAGATAGCAGTACTGACCGGCTTGTGTCTTGGGACGACCAGTTCTGCATCGCCGAGGATAAGCAAGATTCTTTCCACCCAAAACTGGGCGAACGTTGTTTGTGCTAGACAGGTCATTATAGACGTCATAGTCGTAAATTCTTTCTGCTTCCTTCCTCTCTCCCTTTCCATCTCCCCGCAGATTTTTCAGCTCCAGATCTCTTAGTGCCCTGAGACCAGGTGGCGTTTGGTCTGGACGGTACACCTATCACCATCATTACAAACGATACATATTACAGCATTCGTCCAACAGTATTGACGAGTGCAACATTTAATTCAATAGCATATAATCTCCCTCTATACCCACTGCGGTAGAATTGAACATTAAATAGAAGTTTGTCGAGTTCAGATTCATAGATACTGATTATGAGACATTGCCCGTCTGTCTAGTTAGAAGTATATGAGAAACCTTCTGAGAGAAGATCGATGATTCAGCGGGAATACATATTCAGCTCAAATGACTGTGATTATTACGTAGGTGGGATCGAACAATCTACTCACCTTGTTGCTAAAGAAGACACGATCGTTGGTATAGTTGGATGTACTGTAAATCCAAGAGTTGCAAGGAAATGCAATAGTTCTCTTGTCAGGGAGCTCTAGTGTGAGAGAAACGAGGAAGAACTCGTTCCTATGGTTGTTTCGCACAAAGAATGCACCAGGCTCTCCAAAATCTTTTGGCAGTGTGAACTTTATCCTGTATAGAAAGTCCTCTGCGGCCAATATCGTGTCTCCAACGTCCTCTTGTGTAGCCCAGTTTGTGATGCTGCTCTTGTTGCTAACTTTTGGGCCATTTGACTCTGTCACATTTTCATTGAACACATGATCATCTTCATTCAATGTCAAAATCACCTAAATAAAAAATTAGTACTTCTATTCGATTGCAAGGAAAGAATCGTTAAGCTCGGTTTCTGAGCCTTGTGCATGTAAATCCTTAATCTCGAGTCTGCCCAAATCAGGGGTGGCTTAAGAGCGAGTGCCATGTTCGGCTTTGGATGAGAACCTGATATGTCATGGATCAAGATTCTCCCGTAAATATTTAAAACTTTCAACAGGGAAATCAATTTCGGCGTGTTGCTCAGACCGATCTTGAAGTCGAGAAGACCAGTTGCTCATATGTATGACACTGAACAGTCGTCCTTTCAGACTTGGATGTTCATTGCGGAGGATCAGCTGAGTGAAAACAATCGCATTTATGTGCATGCAGCCATGGGCAGGGAGTTCCACGCTCTCAGAGAGGATTTGAGCAAAATAGAGATGTAGAGCGAAAAACTTACTGGGATCCAGATCTACGCTGACGAGCTGGAAGTCGACCTTGTAACCCAAGAGGTCAAGGGTGTTGTCCACAAGGCTGGAAGCTGTATCTGATAAGTCGATTACGTACTTTTTGGTCAGCACAATCGTGCCTTTGACCTCTATGTCAGAGCTAGTACTCAAATTTCCACTTCCTGCACAACGAATGAACCCGCAACCCAAAGGTCGTTGTCCATCAGATGCCCCTGTCTGCTTAATCATTCTCAATATTTTTGGTCCGTTTCCTGCAAAGCTGAAAGAAGACGAGAAGTTGCCACCCAGTCGCAACTTTTGGTTGAAAACTTGATTAACTAGATGTACTCGTCGACTCCGGAGCTTTGCAACCTTCCCACAGTCGCCAGCGCCAGCAGCCCTGCACCTCTGTGAACATGCTATCGAGCTCAAAGCTCCACCTGCAGGAATGGCAAGTCCTGTGGCTTGCAATCCCAAATTTGTACATCCTTGCATCCTCTCAGTAGCCAATACTCAGCACTTGTTCTTGAACTTACTGCCAACGATATCGTGCACGCTTCCTAAAGCTACGAAGATTTTACAGAGCCAATTGCTCCCAACTACACGAAATATAACATCTCTTTACAAAACGCATATCAATTCATGTTCCTTCTCAGTGAGCAGTATGGTCAGAAGTCTCGAGATCCTGTACAGCCTGCCCGGTCGGTCAAAAACTTGCCTGTTTAGGCCTCCTTAAGTAACATGGGCATTCGAATTTGTTCAACTTAATTGATCGAGATGCACGGCATGAGCTCCGCGAGTGTCTGCTTGGCTTCTATAGATCTTGACGACATTTACGCATAGATATCCAATTTACAAACTCGTAGCTACCGATCCACTGGAAGACTGGGCTACACAGGAGCTAATCTGTTGCTGCACTGTGTCAATAGTTCCAGACGAGACTCACAAGAAGAAGCATTCCAAGTCACTGTAACTTCTCAGCAGCAGGAGTCTTCCAGCTAGAGCTTGTTTCTTTTCATCTAGATCTGGTCCCCAGGACAAGTAAGTCGTTGGGCCCACAAGATCTCTACTTCCGCATACGTACGCATGACATCTAGATGTACCTAGATCTCGGATGAGCGCACTCAGTCCGGTCATTCGAATAAGACGGGTGTAATTCGAATCATGCACTCAAATGCTTCACGACCTTCGAGTTGCATGTTCTAGAACATTATGTTAAGAGTGCATTCAACTTGCTGCATTGCTATCGACTCAGCGAAGTATTGACGATACAGTCCATGAGCATAACGGACTACAACTGCTTGAGCTAGCAGAGAATCAGGCTGACCCTTCCGGACAGAGAACTTGCCACAGGTCTGAACACGTTGAAAAGTTCACACTCGGTTGGATTGGGCTGTTGCAGTTGTGGTCAGCAAGGTCTCGCTTGCCGTCGTCAGATCCTTTTAGCTCCAAAGCGCCTAAAGTTTCCAGGTTCACCTGACTTGCAGAAAAATCCAACGCTTTGCACCAAGTCAATGTCCAATTATATGTACGCACATTACTTTCACTTCCGAGAGCGGCAAAAACTCCAGTTGTCAAGGCTTCTGTTGACACCCACTGTTACGCATGCGTTCTGCTCCTTAGGACAAAGCTAGCGAGCTTGCGTGACCATGATTTACATATATATACATCTGTCTGTTTAATAAATTGACACGAAGGAATCTGATCGACTGCTCGGTCTAGTGCTCAAAGTCGTCGGAAGACTAAAATACAAGAAATCTTGACAATGTTCTGGTCTCCAAATGCAGACAACTTGATGACGAGCTGAGACTGGGAACAAATGGATCCACGAGAGAAAAGATTCACTCTTGTGACGATGAATAAAAATGCCTCTTCAATGTAAGAGACGGTGACGAGGGCAATAATGTACCCCTGCATCCTCATGTTGGATGCATATTTTGTCTCGCGATAGTTTCAGATTCTACTGACATTGTCTAACTGAGTTGCAATTTTCTGTACAAAACAAAGTTAGATTCTGCTTACATTGTGATTGGGAAGCTTGGGATCGGAAGCTATTTTACGTTGTGTTGCCCTTTTCATACTCGAGCTAGAGTAGAATTTGTGGATTGCTTCCTGATTTTTTTCTGGTTTTGATCTGCACTGCAATGAGAATCAGTAGTGCAGATGTGAAAAATTTACAGCACGAGGGTGTTTGTTTCTTTAGAGTTCTGTAATTTTAACATATAACCCGGAAGGGTTTCTGGTGGACCTTAAAACATTTCATTCACCTTCTTGCAAAGTAATTCGCACGAAGATGAATCGCAGCATCCTAGAGACGCTTTACGAACCGTGCTTCCTTTGCAGCACCTGTAGTTTCGGCTCAACACGCGAACTTGCTGATGTTCACACATTACTGTCTCATTCCCTGCATTGTCAACGTTGGTACCAAAATCCATGTTACAACATAATTGCCAGGCTCTCAGACACGTAAAGCAAGCAAACCATCACCGACCAATGGTACTACATTAATTTCCTGCTCCATTCCATCAGTCTGCAGCAGCCAAATCGCATGAATCGAGAGACCCAATTCTTCATGTCTCTCGATTCATGAGATGCGGTAGAGAGAGAGAATCTTTTATCTTGTAACACAACGATTCTGTGGTCACGAATGAAGGGAAGCCAACCACGACATCAATAAATGGCGAAAGCTGCGAAACCCAGAACAAGGCTCTGTCTTCTTGATATCCGTTCATGGTTATTGTGTGGCCTGATCTTAAATGCGACGACCACTACCACCACCCAGGCCACCGGTGGACTTGAAAGCTGCAATCTTGCTGAGGGTGAATGTTCCAAGGTTTGACACAACACATAAACCTCGGACAATATAAGACGCTACTGAGGAATAAGCCATCTTAAATTTGAACATTTCTCGTCTTATATAGCTGGAACGAAAATTTCAACTCTCTTTGGGCTTCCATCAGTCTTCCATTGACATTTGTAGTCATTTCTTGGAACCACGAGGAACTTTCGAACCTCGTCGAATGTCCGATTCTATTGATGGAGGACATCTGACGTGCACAAGTCAATTTCGGCAACTTTGACAATCTTATAGATGTATGTACAGCGTCAGGTGAGGTCCACGAACGCTAACGAGCGTGGATCAGCTAAACAGATGGATCAATACCATGCATGCGCCATGCAGATTCGAATCAGAGCTTCAGTACATAGCACACTAACGAGCTCATAGTATGTTGCTACGAAACCTATTTCCTCGCTACTCTGCCGAATATTCTTGCTCTGATCAATCGGCGATTTTCGGGTAAGCCCACGAGGAACACTGATGCCCAGTTCTGCCTTTTACGCTCGCCTTTTTAAGAGTGACGCGTTTCAAGTTTGAAAGGTGGAAAAGGTGAGGAGACCACACAAGATCCGATCAAGATTTTGACCGATGAGGGTCGCTCTTATGGCATGTTATCCATTTGTTTCATTCGTTCTTCAAGGTTATTCACCGACCTCATACCTGGAGCAACGAAATCTCAGCTAAAGCCCACCATTCCATGGCTAGACCCGGGTGCGATTTGTTGATTCCTAGATATGTGGTGGTGTCTGAACTTCTGTTTCTCACAGCATATCAGTGGCCATGTCTAGCCACTGACATGGCAGACCGCAATACAATATCTAGACTTACTGATCCCTGAATTGTTATATTAGTGTATTTCAGGAACTGGTGCAACTTCGAGTCCTTCGTATTACGGATCGGTAGGAATTTAGTATCCTTATTTCTTCACGGCCAAAGAAACGTGAATTTTAGGGAATCCAGGTCTATGCCAGACTTGCACTTCATATCGCTATGAATATTCATCTTCGACATAACTATGTATAGGAAAGTTTCTGTAGATTCTTCACGTGCAGCGATATATGATGTTGTAGTAGAAGACGAGGTCTCTTGGAAGCCGAAGTCCTGGAGGGGTGGAGTACTTGTGAATCAAGCGCTAAAATCCCTCGTGCTTGGTGCACGTTGCAGCATTCACTACAATCATCACGTAAGCTACAAAATGCAAGGAGTAACGCAAGCTCGTAAATAAAGCGTTAATTTTTCAAGAATGGGACAGACTTGTGTGAAAACAACTTCTTGACACACTTGGTGTAGCAAAAGATTGATAGGGAACCACAATCCTTGTGGAGTGCATTGTGGACAAACGTCACCAGATTCTGTCAATTTTGTTATTCGATATGCCAAGCCTCTGGGATCGTCCTCCCATGTTCGAAAGTCTGTCAAGAAACTATACTTTGTACCTGATTTGCTTGTAGAGTAAGTGCATGGAGAGCGTATATAAACTGAAGTGTGGACAATCTGCATGGGCGCCTACAACGCCGATAAAAGATAAAAAATTAATTGCGAATATAATACAGAAACACGTTCTTCACAGTGATTCTTCACAGTGGCACACGTGAAGCTAAGAAGGTTGACTGCTGAATGTGGTCAAAGACAGATTGTCATGAATATAATTTGATCAATTGTATGTAATGCTCATTAACTTGCTTTATTCCTTTGTATTAATGGTTGTTTTGTTGAAAAAGTGAAAATGTATTCTTTGTCCGATGTCCTTACGTTACTAGGAGAGCTTCAAAGGATTTATCACTTCACGGCGGAACTCCAATATGCCACGTCAAATACAAACGTTTCTTGCAAAGAACCACCGAACATAGTTCCAACAGTCAACTATGTTAGGGTGTCACCTCATCAAAGTTAATCCACGGAACATATGACATATTTTACTCAAAAATCTAATATATTTCATAAATTTGGTTTCATTTCTATAGTTACAGTCAATCTCCAATCTATTTTTAATTTTTCTTTTAAAGTAAAAGTTCTATCACATCATCTAGAATATCTTGAACATCAAACATCACATAATCCAATTTATCAATCTTGTAGAATATGTTAAATTTTGCAAGTACCTTTTTGGAATATTTACTTTGATTTCACAATAGTTATTCATACATTGATTTTTTTTGGAATTATGCTAAAAATACTACTTAATTTACCTGAAGCTTACACTTCAGATTCAAAATTTGAGAAAGTTTTAAGTTTCTCAACATCAGACACTTCTTTACTTGTACTAAACATATTTTTCATATAAAATATTTAATTCATATATCATTAAAATCAAAAGCTTTGAAAATCGAAATTTTCATGTATACACAACAATCAAATAAAAATGAATCAATCTTTGTGATTACATGAAATTATTGAATGATCTACCTAGAATTTTGTATTAATGTATACAAAAAAAAATTATGTTGCAATTATTATCTATTTTATATGTTTTTTTACATACAATTTGTTTTCTATCCAGGTTTTGCCATAAAAAATTCCATTTTTTTATTTCAATATAAATTAGATAAAAAATATCTCAAATATATTTTAAAAAAGACTTTGTAGTATATTTAGCAACTTAAAAACAGATATAATTATAAATTAAAACTTTTCATGTGTGAATTGTTTGACCATAATATCGATGTTATAAATCATGTTTCTTTCATAGATGAGACTAATCTTAAATTTGAAGAAGTCAATCATTGGCTTGCAGGTGTTGAATCTTTGAAAACTTGACTACATCTCAAATCTTATTGTTTGTGTCAAATGATTATTTTTTATTTTTTTTTTTTTATGTTATCTCACTGAATTAAACAAAGTTTTATTCTCAGAATATGAGGATTTTTCAATAAAAAAAGTTTCAAAGCCATAATATCATCATACTTATGGAGTAGTAATTGATGTTCAAGTAGAACTGAATCATATTATTTATCCACATCTGTTGAAGCACAATTAGATTTTATAACATGTATATTCTAGTGATCTTGCTCTATCATTATAAGGTAATGTGTTTAGAGATTTGACTACCTCCTTTTGTACTTATATTTTCTCAACTTGAGAAAATTGCTACATTTTAGAAGTTTTTTTGTGATTCATTTTGAAAATATTAATTATTATTTTTCATTTATTATTTAAAAAAT